GAACTCAGGTAGAGTTCCAGTCACTCCAGCCAGACGTGATTAAATGGTTGGCTACGTGCGGGGCGGGGAGACCCTGGGGGAAGAAGGGCACAGAGCCAACTCCCAAGGAGCCTGGGGCACCCTTTCCTGTAGATCATTAACAGAAGCCACCCTGCCGCAGGCAGAGAAGGGGAAAGTCCAAGGAGGTGGCCTGCCCCCTCCTCCCAGGCCCTGTCCTCCAAATACTCCAATCCAGGGCCTCATGGGACATGAGATCATGACATTCGCTGGAGGGGGTGTGTGTGGAGTCATCTAATCCAACTGGCTGCCTCTCATGTCCCTGCAAAATCTCCACAAAAGGCCAAGGGAGACAGGAACTAACATGAGTCAATTTGCAGTTACTGTGTGCTAGGGACTGTGCCAAATGTATTCAGTGTGCCAGCCTGTGACATGGTGGTAAAATGCAATGATGGAGCTAGGCTGTCTGGGTTCAAATCCTAACACTTCTAGCTGTGTGACAAAATCCATGAACTCTGCACTCCGATTTCTCCATATGCAAAATGGGGATAGTACAGAACTTCCTCCATGGGGTCACTGAGAGCTTCACAAATTAACACACATGCGAGTTCCCGAGTTCCTGACTACATAGCACTTAGGAAGAGCTGTTATGGCTAATGGTCCACTTGATCCTCACAATCACCCTTTGAGATGCAGATGGAAAATCCAAGGTTGAGTCATTTGCCCAAAGCACAAACTGGTATAAGGAGAGCTGGATTTGAACCCAGGGTGAAGGATTTCAACACCCCTTCTACGCCATGGAAACTTCCTCCTGCCCTGACCCTGTCTGCCCCTTTGGTAACCAGTGCTTCACAATCCAATTGGCTGCAAAGCCCAGCTTTTGTCTGGGAACATTCTCTCAAAGGCCCTCCTTTCTCCAGAGTGCCACTGAGGAGCAGCAGGTTCCCGGCCTTCCTCTTTAAAATGAGACTTCCAGGCCTAAAAAGGTAAGTCATTGCTCAGTGGCCAAAACAGCTCATTTCTTTGAGCTGCTCCAAGGGAAAACCTTCAGCCAAGGGCTGGACCACGGGTGCAGGACCAACAGCCACAGAGACCCTACCCAGCCAGGACAGACCTTGTGTAGGACCCTAAACCAGAGATGCCCCAAGGTCTAGAGCAGGAGGTAGGGAAGTAGGCCTCCTGCCCCAGGAAGTTGGCTGACAAAGGCCAGCCTGGTTTTTCCTGTTCCCTTCCCTTCGTGTAGACCTTTCCTCCAGCTCTCTGTACATGGCTCCTATGCCCCCCAGACTGTAGATGAGCTCAGTAATAGAGGTCCCCTGCCAGCTGGGCTCAAACCCCCCTGGACTCCCTGCCAGCCCAGAGCACAGGACAGCTGCCGCGGCCCTTTCATCTTCTAAAACCCTGGAAAAAGAATGGGCCTGAAAGAATTCTGCCATTTCCTTTCCCAAGTAGCTTTGGACCTATCTCCTCTACATTTAAGATCTAGATAGTAGAAAAATCAGGCTCTTGGGCAACCAAGCTCACTTGGAACAGAGAGCTTCCTGGGGCCATAGGGAGCCTCCTCCTGTCTTTACAGACCACCCCACCCTCCAGGGCTTACTTTGTTATCACTCAAAGACTGACTCAACGGAGGAAATTCTGGGTAGGCAGTGGGTATGCTTAGTCCCCTCTGAACCCAACCAGGAGCTGGAAATTTAGATGTTTCCTACTTGCCCATCTAGGCCTGCAGGGACTGAGCTCAAGGTGAGTGATTGCTTTTAGTCAAAGGAAGATCACATGCCATGCCACCACCACACACACAGAGTCAGTCATTCCCTCCTTAAGGGACAGAGGCCCAGCTTCACTCCAGTTAGAAGGTCTGCTTTCCCCCTTCCCTCCACCACCACCTTTTGCCCTAAGAGGTTACACTCCCTTTTTTCCATCTCATACCCCTGCCCCCCAGCAGGCACCTGCTGGCCTGGGAAGGAAGAGTTGACAGGGTGCATAAGGTAGGTCTTCCCCAGCCTCAAGGACAGCCCTGACCCAGCCAATGTCTTCTGCAGACTACATGCCTTTGGCCAGGTGGAGTCAAGGTGGAAATTCAGCTTACCCCTCAAAGTGCAGAGAACCAAAGGCAGCTGAGCCTCAAACAGCAATATCTACATCTGCCTCCCCAAAAAGAAATCCTCCCAAGAACCAGACTTGAGGTTTTCAGAAGGATCCAACCACTCTGGCAAGCAAACCATCCCCTCAGTGGGCATCTGGCTTTGGCTGGGTTGCTTCTAGCAAAGGAGACCTCACCCTTCCCAAGATGATGATAAACCTACTCTGCATGGTATTAAGGTGTCACAAAAACCTATGGTAGTGGGACCTAAGGACGACTTCTTGTCATGCTGGCCATTTTAATACCCACCTCCCCTTAACAGCCCTCCCAATAGAGAAGCACATGTCAGATCCAGGTGAAACCACCCCTGTCCCAGTGCCCTGTGATTGAGCCTTTAACCACCCTAGATGCCCCTCTCCAAGCCTGCAATGTTTCATCCTACTCCAGGTGATAGTTTGAGGCTAGGGCTTCCAGTCAATTTTCAGTGGGAAAAATGAGCCTAGAAGCACCCACATCACTCATCCAAATCCAGACTTGCTGGTATGCCATGTGCTACATACATCCCCCCTTCACCATATTGGCAACCCAAACGTCATGCACAGGCTGGGCAGAGAAGACTAGAAGCCCCTGTGCCTCAGCAGCCCTCAAGAACCTACAAGTCCACGCAGGTGGGCAAGGCTGGCCCCTTGTCACCAACACTCTAAGCAGGTAATATAGAGAAGTACAGGCTGCTCTGCAATTATTCTCCACTCCATCCCAAGTTCAGCAGCTTCCAGAATCAACAGGAAGCTAGCCATTGTTTTATCTGCAACATATACAGGAGACAAACCTACAAAGGAAAACCACAAACCAAGCAAAACCAGCTTTACCATCAGTGTTTCTTGAAAAAAAAAATGGGGTTTATTGATTTTTAAACTGCAAATAGTCGTTACAAAAAGTATTTTTTCTTTTAAATAAATTCACACAAAGAAAGAGAAATAGAAAGCGACGGTAGTGACCAGCAAGAGGAATAATAATTACATTCATCTTAATGTGTGTGTGCCAGTTCTGTTTGCATTAACATTGGAAAACTCTAAACCTGGAATCCAGAACCTCAAATCTGCGATCGGAATGTCTTGAGATGGGCACGTGGAAGTCAAAGGGTTTCTTTTTTTTTTTTTTTTTCCCTTTTAGAAGCTATACATAAAAAGTTGTTTTCCTTCTGTACTGTCACAGAACTTCTACATACATTCTCAGTCCTAGTTGTGAAAGGCCTAAAGAGAAAGAAACTCAATTTGCAGTCCAACACAAAGGGGGGAAATTTCTAAAATAAATAATCCAACAGTTTTTTGCATTTTTTTAAATTAATTTTTCATTTTTTTAAAATAAAATAACCAAAAAAAGTGTAAAGTTACAAAAAATGTCGTTGAAGAATAATATATTAAAACTGTGGAAAAAAGGGAAAAAGACACGTCACAAAATTTTAAGATTAATATGAAGATCATAATTTAACATAAAAGAATATATTCTATGGATTTGTCATCCCGATAAATATGAACAAAATTAACAAAAAAAAAGCATAGTTTGGCAATAAATACGTTTTGATAAGTTAAATAAGCTTTTTTATATTGATGTGCAGTGACAAGCAAAATTTTTGCTCTCCAATTTCTGAAAGTTATATGAAGTTTAAAACCCAGGGAAAAAAGCATGGCGTGAGTGCTCTAAGGATAGACCTACGGTATTCTAGAGCAAAAACCATTAAAGCTACTTCTACGGGAAATCGTTTTACACAGATATTGTATGTGGAATGAATACCATTAACTCTCACCCCTTACATGTTTTTTTTAGCTTTTCTCTCACTTTTTTGTCATTGTTTTTAAAAGATGTCACATATGAACTGGGGAACTTTAGCACCAAAATCAAGTCTCTCATAGTCCATCCATCTAGCTTCCCCTTCCTCCCCACTTTAAAAAAAAAAAAAATTAAATCACAAAGTCCCACTTATGTCACAATCTTCATCCACTTTTTCAGTCTTCCTTCCTGTAGACCTACACGAACCCAGGCAAGATTAGTCAACAGAGGTTCGGGTCGGGAAGAAAAAGGTTTTGAATGTCAAGATAGGTTTCCCCAAAAACCCAAGTCTGGCAACAACTCTCCCAAGGGGGTGTGGGGGGGTTACTGGGGAAGGGAGGAGGAAGTGTGTGGGAGACTGAAATAAGGGAAGGTGCAGTTGTATCGCCAGTGGAGGGAGCTGCTGGTCTGGGTCCCCCCCCCCCCC